TGCCCGTGTACCGACCACCTCACAAAAAAACGGACTATTCGTTGTGAAGATTTTGGAAACACAGCGTGGTTATTTCCGTTTGCCCATAGGATGATACGGCACGAGCTCGGCAGCTTGGGTGACGGAAGACATGATTCACAACTTTCCAAATATTCCGTATCGGCCTCATGGTCGGCATCGGGGCGGCACGCCAAGCCAGAAGCAGGAGAGACGAGTAACTGACACCCGTGAGATAATTACGTGAGGAAAACCCCGATTGATCTACTTTCAATAAATTGCGATAGATTATTGTCATTGATGTACAGTAAATTTTATTGATTAAGATATACGGAATACATGAGAGACCACCACCATATTGGTCTGGCGACAGACTATCATGTATTAGGCTCCATGACTCGAGGAATGGTTTAACATAAACTGAAGACCCTATAGTTATAGTTTCAGATGCATTCACATCATAAGAACTGAGAGCCTATATATACAACAAGTAGTCAACTTGATTGGAAATCAACTTTGTCGTCTGTATAGACACTTCGGGGCTAATCACGACAAAGTGGCTTGGTTCCTGATCTGCACAAGCCTCACATCACAACAAGGACCTCAATGTATTACGCATTTTTCACAATATATTCATTTTCGGCGACGGCAAGAGTGGCTGCTGCAGTTCTCGGCTCTTTTGTCTCGCTCTCGGGGCACGATACCAGTCAAAGCGTCTAATTTCAAGGATTTTGAGTGTGCATGTTGAGAGCGTGCATGATCTTCATTGAGGCTGATGGCTTGTTAGTTGTATTATATGAGCTCTGAGATAATGGTTACCCACGTAGTATGATGTCTGTCCTTATCAATCGCCGAATGTAGAAAATCCACATAGTGTTTCTCTGTCTTCTTCGTCAATGTCGAGTTCTTTCCACGCTGCGTGTAGATTACTATAGGGAGCATGGCCATGCTCCCCGTAGAATATGAAGAAAAGTACTGCTTTGATCTCTTTGTATTGTTAGTAAGGTACGCTTCGGGTTTCATCGATATACCAGGCCCAATTAAGTTGCTAGCATGTGTGTATCTGACGTATTCCGGCCACCAGGGCTCTCTTTTGACATATCGCGACTTTCGAGGCTTCCCCATGAGTACTACCCACCGATAAAGAAGGTTTCGACTCATTTTTGTGTTGAGACTATTGAAACCAGCTTGATACAGCCCTTTCAGTGTGTGAGGGCGGAGTTGTTGTGTTCGCGAGCGCACTCGGTGACAGAGTGCCAGCGTGGCCTGCTCTAGTATAACCTTACGTCCTCCATTGAAGTATTGGAGTAGATCTGGAAGTAAGATATCAGTATTGATTGCCGAATATATCAATATACATACTCTTTACTTCTTTTCCATTGCCCTTAAACCTTGTATTATCAGGGACGGCAACCTCAAGATCTTCAGTATGGCGTTCTGTTGCCAAACAAATGCTAGAAGCTGTATTGGAATTTGAGAGTGTGCTATGGAAACTCGAAAGTTCCTTGTGTGTGTGTACTGTTTTGGTTTGGTAGAACAGTTGTGGCTCTGACGACTGAATGTGGCTTGCAAGTGGTGATTTGGAGGCTCTGTATTGCTGATGATGAGAGGCTGGAGGCAATGCTAATGGCTGGAAATCTGAGGTTGGCGCAAGAAGAGCATTTTCTGCTTCTCCGCTTTGATTCCTGTGAGCAAGAATATGTTAGCAGGTTGTCAAACAAGGGCTATTGGGCACGACATTTCACTGAGCTCTTCAATATCAACTTGCCGGTCACTTGCATTCAAGGCCTGGGAGCAAGAGTGATAATACACTTGTGGTTTGCCACTGTTTCGCCTCCAATTGACTTCACTGACAGTCATGCGGATTTGGATTCGCTCGGTGAAGCTCGCTGAAATTGCAACCTTATTCCCAAGATCGGAAGGGCTGAAAACACTGGGCTTGCGAATTGCTAATAGAATCGAAAGGTTGATTTCGATGACTCATGTAGCTACCATCAGTAAAGATATTGGACGGAGACTTTATAGGCTCAAAGTAAGGCAAGCCGGATTGCGTAGCATTAGAAAACCCAATTGACCGGCCGTTCAGCCCCCTTACTCATCAAAGCCTGCCGGACTTCAACCTGTGATGGACGCGGAAAACTCGCACTGCATACCGTGGCTCTGGCTGGTGCTAGCTGGTTCCGAGGCCCTTATTGATTTGGAATCCACATGAGTAACTTGTGAGAACCTATAAGAGCGTCAGGGGCACTATTACAAGGATGTTTACTCGAGTGGTGGAGTGGATTAGCTGCTAGGACAATGCGCTGCAGCGGATATGGGAGCATTCATGAATTATCCGTCTCAATACAAGCGCATTCAAAAAATGAAAATTACCATTTAATCGAAAGGTATCGTAATGCTGGTATCCGTGCGCCAAAACACATGACTCTCAATCCAAAGCCTTAATATACAAAGAATGATCCTTATTCAAGTAGTTCGTCCCTTGGATTGTGCATGCATCAGCTCAGTCTTCTCAATCCTCCGCCCTCTACGTTCAATATGGCAAAAGATGGAACCAATATGGTAAGAGCAAATGGCTTCACTCATGTTCTTATACTAAGATTGAATAAACAGATCCCCGAAGCAGTCCTCAAGATACCAGCCCAAACATCATTGATGGCTTTGCAGATTTGGTGGCTGGGTACCCTGGACCTGGCGAGCGCAAGTGGACGGCAACACAGACCTGATCCTGGCATTGAATCGCTAGTTATGGATTGCCAGACTCTTAGGAAGAATGGATACAGAAAAGGACGGGAAAGTTTAGCCCAGAACGTCATTCTGAAGCGACATGTGCAAGCAATGGTGGAAGACCTCACCGACGACTCGCTCTTAATATTCGCAATTCTCACCTGGCACTTCAACGCAGATATGAGAG